ATACATTGCGCGCCAGAGACTTTCCCACAGACAAAACCAAGGTATGCTTTATAATCAGCTTACTCAAGGGTCAGGCAGCTAAATGGGGTACTCCTATGCTCCTTGCTCTTCATCCCTGTTAACTAACTACCAGGTTTTTCTGGAACATATCTCAGTCGCGTTTGCTAACCCCTTGCAAGCTGCCACAGCTAACAGAAAGATTCGGGCCCTGAAACAGGGAAAGGCTTCAGTTTCCCAGTATTCTACCGAGTTCAGACTCCTGGCTCAAGACTTACTCTGGAATGAGGCAGCTCTTATGGACCAATATATGGAGGGGGTAGCTAATGGGATCCTGGATGAGCTGGCATGTGTAGATCGACCCAACATGCTGCAAGAGCTAATCACGCTATGCTTACGCATTGATGGCCGCTTGGAGAGCCGACGCGTAGCACAGGGCGGTTCCCGCCTCCTGCAGTCACCCTTGCTAGCCCCCAATATCAGACCAGAGGATTCTGAACCTATGCAATTGGGAGCAGCTCGGCCCCGCCTCAGCCCTGAGGAAAAGACACAATGCCGCTCCCAGAATCTTTGTACTGTGGGGGAGCAGGACACTTTGCTTCTGGCTGTTTGGTTAAGCGGCGTAACCTTGACTCTGTGAAACTGGTAAAAGAATTGCACCATGTCTGAATGGACCCTCAGTTGCCACATGTGGCAACTGAAAACAGTTGCCACATGTGGCAAAAAGATCCAACAGGCATGATACTAGCTTATTTTGTCTAGGAGAAGTCCATTTAGTTCCATCTTGCAAAATCTGTAAGAGCTTTACTGCCCTTACCTTCAAGAATCACCAGTCTCAGCTTTGATCTTTCCTTTGGGAACAATTCCTTCAAGCCACAAATCCCCCTCCCAGGGTGACTCATATAGATCAGCCAGCTCTGTTGGGAAGAGCCCTGGAGACAGTCTGTTGCTTCCTCTTCCTCAAAACTACCATCAAAATCAATGAAGAAAGCGGAGCAGGGCAGGCCCTAATATTGAAGAGTCAAACTAGGAGAAATTGCAGCCTATTGACTCAGCTGAAGTTTTGGTGGTTTTGGATCTGCAGTGGTCGATCTGAGAGTCTACCTTTTCTCTCACTACTGAAGCCCAGTATATGGTCTCAGTTTCAGAAGGTGAATGCTGACCCCCTCTGTGCAGAGTGTTGCTGCCTCGTTGAGAGCCCCATCACCTCGGAGTCTGCTGCGGGAGCAGTCTTTACTTCCATTGTCTGAGAATGAATGGTGGTCGAAATCAAGATCCCTCTTCCTTACTCAACGGTCTCCACACCTGAGACATCACAGTAGGGAGAATAGGAAGTCCAGATTGCAAATGTTCTTGTGAGCACCATGTTGATATCGACCACTCAAGGTCTCCATCAACAAGCTTTCTGTATTGTAAGGATGCTTACTATGCATCCTTCTTTTCCCCTCCTCGCTGCATTTATGGGGACTTCGGCTGCCCCTCTCAGTCATACAGGAGCCTATCAAAATAGTGATGCTTGAGACCCTGACTGATCTTATTAGCCAGTCATGGTAATAAAGCCTTCTTTGATTCTACCAACATCTCATAGGCTTGAGAACTTCTATAGGGTCCAACAGGACAAGGCTAAGTTCCTCTTTAAACACCCTACACCAAATTCTGTCACAGTTCAAATGACCCAAGTAAGATTCAAGGGCTCAGCCTGTGAAACCCCGAGTAATAAAGTCATAAACTGGACTTCCTTGCTCGCAAGATACATTCTTCAGTGGCACTCCACATGTACATAGCTGACTATGATGAGTTCCTACCTCCAATTCATCTGGGAGAAGATTTAGACTATAATTGTTGCCTTACCACTAGACCAACAGACTCTAGCCATCTCCTTCCAGCAAGAGACTTATGATCTGGCCAGGCAACAAATCCACTTTGCTCAGCATGTGGCAGATTGTGCAGCTAAGAGCATGACAGTGAGCATCACTTTGTGTATACATACATGGCTTCACTCAGCAGACCTACCACATGACTCCAAGGCCCACATTGAGGACCTCCCCTTCGATGGAGAGGGAGTTTTCATTGACAAAACTCGTGACTTCATGCAGGACCTTCACAAGAAGAAGACTTATGCAAAGAAAATGGGCATAACCCCATACCACCCAATGACTTCTCACTTCCGCCCTCACTGGAAGAGACTCTTGCCATACTCTTACTATAAGTCACTTTCTCAGCAATCCAGGACCTCCAATTGGTCAGTCCACCAGCATCTTACCCCAGCCGCCTCCTGTATCAAATGTAAGCAAACAATCTTCTCAAAAAAGGTTGACAGTAAACTTCAGCAGCAGTTTTGACGTGCCCCAGCCTGAGCTCAACATGTACATACTTCTACTATTATAGCCCCACATTACAACAGCTACAGGTGCACGCTTAACACCATCCATCCATGTTTGGGATGCTATTACTTCAGATACATGGGTCCTCAACATCATAACCCACAGATATGCAATAGAGTTCTCCGTTCTCCCGCCCATGGGCCATATCCAATACACTTCACCTTCTCCTATCTTACCTGCCTTCTATCCATCTCCACAAAATGACCTAGAACAGTCCCTTCATTCTTTGGATGTCACAAAGAGAACAAAGGACTTTAGACAAACAACTAAACTCTTGATCTCCTACCAAGGTCCCAAGAAGGGACACCCAGTCTCTTCTCAGAGATTTTCCCAATGGATCTCTCAGGCTATTGCCTGGTTTATGAACTAGCAAACAAGCTGGACCGTCTGCAGTCACTCCACAAGAGCCATATTCTCTTCTGCAGCTTTCATTTGAGGTGTTGACATCCAAGAGATCTGTCGAACAGCAACTTGGTCCTGTCCAATGACACATATCACACACTATAGATCTAAGAGCTCAAAAGGATGCTGCATTGGGATGACCTGTCCTGCTTTCTATCTTGGCGTAACTCCCACCTCCAAGGTACAGCTCTCTAGTCACCCATTTTGTGTGCATACATGGACACCACGAAAAAGAAGACTTGGTTACTTATGTAACTATGGTTCTTTGAGTGGTGATCCATGTATCCACACAATCCTGCATACTTCCCTTCTTGTTCCACCCTTCTCTATTTTTCTTGCAGTGGACAACTTGGACTGAGGAAAATTGGTGCCTCATTTGCAGGGTGGTATAGGATGAGAAACGTTCGTTTTTCAGGTTTTGGAACAGATCTTCACTTAAAGAACCATAGTTACATAAGTAACTGAGTCTTTCATGCCAGAGATTGCTGGAGCAGTTTTAGCACTGTTAATACTCTGATTGTTAACAGGATTCTGGCCATGGTGTAGGAACATGTTTCTAGGATCATTGGAAACTGTCTGTATGGATTGAACCCATTATCTTGCTTAGTACTATCAAGTCTGGCAGTGGCTGTTCTGGGTTGTGGGCAAGAAGTTCTTGCTGGTATTTCTTTGAATTTTCTATCTAACTATACTAGACCCAGCTTAGCTTCTGGAAATAGTAGAGCTCAGGTGTGCTCACCTGAGAAACTGATTAGACTCTAGACACAGTAATGTCAACTTTTCTAAGGGAATATCTTTATTGATTATTTGCTTATGTATTTATGTATTTATGTATTCTGGGAAAATTTTACAAGCTGTGTGAACTGAAGTTCCATTTTGGTTGGCAACATTATTTTGCCACAGCTGTTGCAGGTCCTGATGCACATTCCCCTTAAGCCCTCTCCAGAAGTTAATGTTAGAATTGGTTACCACTAGTAAGAATAGTGTGCTTTGTTTATTGTTAATGTTTAAGTGCATTCCTACATATGGGATTGTGGTGATATTATTTTTGTTACATGCTGCTGTTGCCATTACCCGCACAACTGCCACTTTAGGACATGTTCAGATACATGTCCTGGAAGATGTTAGTACTACCTTGTATATGAATAGGATCATAACTGTAGTTAAAATATGATCATATATATGAATTTGAACAGTTTGGGATGGAGTCATGTGTATTTTTCTGGGGATGTTTCTGGTATGAAAACATGTATGGCAGGTGTAGAGAAGTCTTATGAAGTATAATTGAACCACTCCATATGAAACTACGCTGAAGACCTGTGGATATCAGGTTACCCAACCCCATATATGGGATAATATATGGTATATATTGATATAATGTAAAAATGTACTACAGTTTGATACACGTATGAACACGAAATAGATTTTATAGATTTGTTAGGCAAAATTAGTGGGGAAGTGGTCAGATGTGCAGCCGTTGATTTTTTTTTATTTTAATTTTTTTTTTTTTGCAATAGCTTGCACTTGAACTAGCATTCTGAGTGCTCTTCCTCTCTTGGTTTCTTGAAGGAAGTTATGGTTAAGTAAGTGTAGCCATCCCATGATGACTCAGTACCTCCTCCTCCACACTTCTAATTTAGATACTTGTATTTTATTTGAATTAGGAGTTGTCAGAAATGATAGGCCTTTTTTTTTACTTTGAAATAGCTGTTTAGAAATTTGTGTTTGGGCATTATGAATAATCCAGAACGTATTGTAATGTAGATACCTGAGAAGTAGTAACAAGCCACCTGTGTCTTGAATTCTGAAAATAAATATATTTGCTTCGTTATTAAATCATGGTGATTAGAGTAGCTTGCTTAAAGTAGCATAGGACATTCACTACAATCTCTTTCATTTCATTGCTTTGCTTTCAGTTTATGTAAAATTTTATTGCTTTTTGCAAGGTGTTTGAGAACTTAGATGCAGAGATAGCCCTGTAAAGATTGACAGGGTAGCAGTTTAAATTCCACACAATCACTTTTCTTGCAAAAGGTGCATGATTTCTTCAGTCTCCTTCATAATGAAGGCACAATATTTTCTTCCGTTCTTTAGAGTTATAATTTAGAATTTGCTGGGAGTGTAGATGTAATTAGTGTGATTCTTTACTCCAGTACTATGCAGAATTTTTCAAGTTATTAAAACACTTCTAGAAGTTTAATATCTGAAGTCAGCAATCCTTCAATATTTACATTATTAGGAAGTTGTAATTAAAATTAAAACTTTAAAATGATTCATGACAGATTTTACTGCTACATATCTGGCAGATTACAACTGTGCTCACAGTTTCAGTCAGAAAATACTGGTGTTCAGTTCAGAGCAGTAAATACAGTGTGGCTAGAAATTATTCTTGATTTGTAGTTCTGGAAGTTTATTAATTGGTAATATTTTCTGAAATTTGTTGCTAGGGCAAATACAAATCACGTCTTTCTCCGTTTTCTTTATTGTGATAGATACAGATTGGCTGTGACATCATGGTTGCAGTATGAAATGTTTGCATGGTGTGTACAGATGAAACAAGTAATTTGTGTACCGGAGTGTTTCCAGAGCACAAGACTTCACTGAAGAATGTCTGGATTCCTCAAACTTTGCATCGTTCAGTAGTATAATAATTTTAAGGGGAATGTGGCTAATATTTGCATGCTACTTTCCCATTTCCTTTCAAAATGTTGAGTGTAAGATTGATATTTCTTAGTGTTTGTGGCAGCGTAATCGTAATCAAAATGTTAATAGAAAGCTTCAGTAGAGCAGAATATAATGTCCTAAAGTAGAAGGCAGTAATATATAGTGACTCAATTATGAAGGCCTTTTGGACCATGACAACCGACAGAACGGGAATTTCTGAATTCTGAGAAACAGTCTCTAAATTGTTCCCATTCAGACTATTGAAAAATAAAATGGCACATAATCAAGGACAATGTGTGCCTTAAAATAATGAGAAACAGACTTTTTTGTTGGTTAAGACACAGTATGAATCACATTCCTAGTTAGTTTACTCTTTGATTCTTTTAGGTGATCATACCCATCCTTGCAGCAAGTTACTTTTCCTGGGCATTCTCTTCTTTTACTCACTGGAGCATACCTACAGAAAACTCAAACTTTGTTACTTTTTAAAAGTTCTTTTCTCAAAACTTCTTTTCTCATCCTTCATACACTGGCATGCATTTTGGTATCAAATACTTATATCCCCTCAGGCTAATTAAAAGCCTCAGTATGGCTTTTAATGCAGTGCACACTCCAAAGTGTGTTCTTTTCATTTCTCCTTGGCATTAGACCCTATGTATCATCACCATAGCAGACGTCTAAAAGCCATTTGTTGTTATTCCTCTCAATTTTTTGGCTAGTTTTAATTATGAAACTACTAAGATGTGGTGGCTAAAATCCTGTTAAGTAACTCCATTGGCACAAATGGCTGATTACTCTCTTCTGCCTCTGATTGCAAAGGTTTTCATTTTTTTCTGCATATGGGAAAAATACACATTGTCACCTTGAAAGCTGTACAAATCACCTGCTATTTTTTCTGTGTCAAGGGTCAAGGATCTTATGTTTTGTAGTCAGATAACATTGATGTTAGAAAACAAGATCCTTTTCTAACTGCCAAATGATGAGGTGCTAGAAGGAAAATGTCATAAAAGCCTGCTAAGTACAGTACAGTATATAAATGTCCTAGTGTGCCTGCTTGATATAGAAAGGAATAAGATAGAATGAAGGTAGTCATCAGTCCAACAGTGTTGTAATTCTAAATATGTTCACTTAGAAGCCACTCTGTCAGTGGCATCATAATTAGGAGTAACAATGAAGAATCTGTAGTTTTTAAAACACTTAACCGGTAATGTGAACTTTTGGTTTATGCAATGGACCCTCAACTTACAGACTTTTCGAGTTACAGACTTTTCTGGCCGCAAAATTTAGGTTCGACTTGCAGCCAGAGAATCGACCTACAAACCAGAAAAAAACCAAAATGGAACAAAAATGGCCGGTTATGGCGTTAATCGGTTTTCAATGCATTATAGGTCAAGACTCGACCTACAGACTTTTCGACCTGCAGCCACCATTCCAATACGGATTAATTCCATAAGTAGAGGGGCCACTGTAGTTCCATGAAAGTCTGTATCACAGTGCACCTTATGGTAAATACATTAATTTTTAAGATGGCGTAGGCCTCTCTCTCTCTTTTTTGAGTGGCACTGTGGGTTAAACCGCAAGCCTGTGGGCTGCAAGGTCGAAAGATCAGCAGTTCAAATCCCACGCAACAGAGTGAGCTCCCGTTGCTTGTCCCAGCTCTTGCCAACCTAGCAGTTTGAAGGCATGTAAAAATACGAGAAGATAAATAGGTACCACCACGGTGGAAAGGTAACGACATTCCGTGTCTAGTCATGCTGCCTACGTGACCACAGAAACTGTTTATGGACAAACACTCGCTCTACAGCATGGAAACGCTGATGAGTACTGTCCCCTAGAGTCGGACACGACTGGACAATTGTCAAGGGGAACCTTTGCCTTTACCTAGGCCTCTTTTTTGCTAGCTTGGATACTTGTTTGAAAATTATTAGGAGAGCATTATCATTGTACTTGATTCTGAACAGTTTACTAGCACACATACATTGTAATTACAGAATATTATACAGAATATTCTGTTGTTGAATACTTATAGAATACGTGTAAGAAGATGCCAGGAAAGACTAGCCGTGATTTGAAGCTATTCACATTAGAGATCCTAGGAAAAGTCTCATATTGAGTAGTATTGTATTTGGAACAATGTCAAAACATTTTTAGTGGAGGTGGAAAGGAATCAAGGAGACTGCTTCAGTTCTCTTAGGAAACAATGCAATGAAAAGGGATATGCTTGGGTTTGCTGTTGAGATTCTGCTGAAATACATTGTTGATCTGTATTTTATATGCTTGCTTGATATTTTGTTTCTGATTTATATCTATTAAAGCAAGGGTTGTCAACCCCTGGTCTGAGCCGGACCGGGCCACGGAGACAGACCTCCCCCCTGCACGCACTCCCCTCTCCACAGCTGCTTTGTGCGTATGCATGCGTGCCAGCACTTGTGTGAGCGCTCCCACACCATTTCACGCATGTACCCACATGCCCGCATGAAGGGATGGGTGGGTTCACGTGCACATGGGCAGGTGTGCATGCGCTCCTGCGCATGTGCAAAGGGGTGGGGGTGAAGGGGTGGGTGGGTTCACGTGCTCATGGGCAGGTGTGCAGGCGCTCCTGCGCATGCGCAAAGGGGTGGGGGAGCGCTCATACTGGTGCACTCGTGCTCTCCCCACCGAAGCGCTCATGCTGGTGCACTCGTGCTCTCCCCACCGCTTCGTACATGCACCTGAGAGCATGTGCGCATGCGCCCAAGAGCACGAACGTGGGGGGGAGTGCCCCACATTCCTCAGAGGCTCAGCTGGTCCACGGTCCCAAAAAGGTTGGGAACCGTTGTATTAAAGTCTTCTACACACAGCAAAATAGATGCTATCTTTAGTGTGTGTGTGTGGAACTGGAATCAAGAAGCAATGAATGAAGACTTTGCTCCACTCACCTTTCTGCTTCAAGTAGCTGCTTTGTATGCTACTGCAGTGCTGTTTCTACTTGGTAGGAAACTATGTGCATTAAATTGTAAACTCAGTATATTTCAGTTTTGGAACAACGTTACCGTTGGACACACCCAGCTGAGAACAGGCAAAGCATCTTAAGCCAGACATTCCATATTCAGATTCAAAAGTTAAAGCCTTCTAGTAAGAAACTGGCCTGGGTCTGCTCTCTTGTCAGTAGTGATTAATTTTTAAGTGTCCAAGTGTTTTTTATTTTCTTATTTTAAAGAAAGCTGTGAGACATGCTACAGGTGCATCTAAAACTTACTAAGTCCTTCAAGCTGGGAGTTGTTACAGAGAGGGCCCACAATGTTTCTCCAGTACATTTAAGAGCAGTTGTGACATTGTCAAACCCACTGAAATCACCCAAGCCAATCCACTGCTTGCTTCTGAGAGCGTAATTGAATCTACTGTACTTTTAGAGCAACAGAATTGACCTTAATTCTACCATCATGCATGTATTTCTGACATTGAATATGGGGGAATGATGGCTGTTCTCTTTGAGTACTCCCACGGTAGAGTTTATTTGCGTATCCATTTTATTTTACTGTGCATACCTGTGTATGTACCAAATGCACAATAAAATAAAATGGTTCTGCAGCTGAAAGACAACAAGGGGGTTTAAAAAATAACAGAAAGTAGAAAGTGGTGGTGCAGTGGAGACAATATTTCCTAACTCTTCTTTGATCTCTCCAATCAAATCCCACACAAGAGACTAAGTCAACTATTCAACATTCGTATTCACTTTCAGTACAAAGTGCAACGAAGACTTGGTATAGTTTAGGTTTTTTTTTAAAAAGCAAGACTATTCTAGGATGCCCCCAGTGTAATAAGTGATGCACCACTGCAACGCCTGTGTGCTTAGTCCAGCTAATGGGATATAGAGTCTGGTGAGTGCTCCAAGCCCCTTCATGGATTGCTGCCTTGTTGTGGCGAAGGGGCTTGAGTAACTCAGAGAAGCTATGAGCTATGCCATGCAGGGACACCCAAGACGGACAGGACATAGTGGAGACTTCCGACTAAACACAATCCACCTGGAGTAGGAAATGGCAATGCCAGTCCAGTATCTTTGCCAAGAACGCCTCATGATCAGAAACAAAAGGCTAAAAGATATGACGCTGGAATATGGGCCCCTCAGGTCGAAAGGCGTCCAACTTGCTACTGAGGAAGAGCGGAGGACAAGTACAAATAGCTCCAGAGCTAATGAAGTGGTTGGGCCAAAGCCGAAAGGACGCTCAGCTGTGGACGTGCCTGGAAGTGAAAGGGAAGTCCAATGCTGCAAAGAAAAATACTGCATAGGAACCTGGAATGTAAGATCTATGAACCTCAGGAAGCTGGAGGTGGTCAAACAGGAGATGGCAAGAATAAGCATCGACATCCTGGGCATCAGTGAACTAAAATGGACAGGAATGGGCGAATTCAGCTCAGATGACTATCATATCTATTATTGTGAGCAAGAATCCCGTAGAAGGAATGGAGTAGCCTTCATAGTCAACAAAAGAGTGGGAAAAGCTGTAATGGGATACAATCTCAAAAATGATAGAATGATGTCAATATGAATCCAAGACAGACCTTTCAACATCACAATAATCCAAGTTTATGCACCAACCACCGATGCTAAAGAGGCTGAAATTGACCAATTCTATGAAGATTTACAATACCTTCTAGAACTGACACCAAAGAAAGTTGTTCTTCTCATTCTAGGGACCGGAATGCTAAAGTAGGGAGCTAAGAGATAAAAGGAACAACAGGGAAGTTTGGCCTTGG